GCATGTGACGCGAAAATTTATAACTTAATGTTAAATAAAATTTTTGTGTGTATTATCTAATAAAGGTATTTTCTTTTTTTCTTTCAGGTATGTTCAACATAATAAATAATTGGGAAATCACGTAAAAAACCACCCTAAACACTTAACTAACACAACCCTTAGTTAAGTAGGACTATTTGAATGCTATCGGTGAATCATTTATTATTATTTTACTGGACTTCTATAAGTACTTTTTAATAATGGTCATTTGCAGCTGTATTATTGCCAAAATGGCGATCAACTATTCGCTTTACCATTAGACTTGATTTCTTTCTTTAATTTTTGTTCAAGAGTTCTATATGCTGAAAGAAAGGTATAGACTGACAATCTTGAATGAATCATTCACTACGCCTTAATTCTACATAATTCTACAAATTAAAATGCTGTACCGCATGTACGGTACCATTGCCATTGGTCGCTTAATGAGCAAACTTCTGCCATATCGACAACGTCTGGAGTCTAATTTTAGATGCCTTTGGCCTCCGACTTCAGACTGCCAAGGGATCTGGAATAGGCTGTTGTTTGTGCTTCTGTTTTAACATAAGGTTGTGGGGTTGAGAAATATACACTTACATTTTGTGTATGCTATTTCAAAAAAACTTGTATGCAATAAGATTAAAGACTTCATTTTTCTAAAGGGTTCCATTAACCACAAAACGATAACTCAATTAAAAACATCTGTAGGTTTCAGTCATCTTAATATTCTGTTTTGAAAAGTGTTCCAGATTCTGTTTATGGAAATCTCAACTATTGTTAAAAACTAATTAGTGATAATTTCAATAAAAATTAACATTTTTTATTGGTATATTAACGTACCGTAGGGTGCCTTATTATAAAATATATGTTTCTCTCTGTGCGGTGTAGACAGTCAAAAACGCAGCATGGGGTTGTCTGCTTCAAGAGCAGCAGAAAGGCAGAAAAAAGGAAAATAAACACACATTAAACGGGGAATAGGGGCTTGCAAAGAGGCAGAGGAAATTGTATTAAAGAGGTAGCCGGAGCTGCGATGGACGAGAACACTCCATACACAATTACGACAAATCCACAGCTCTCTCGGTACTCGCCACTCGGAATCCCCCCCAACTCTTGGGTGATAATGCGAACGAACCCCAGAGAACTCAGAGAAACTCGGTGCTCGGGGATAAAAATAGACAGCAGAAAGGATATTGTAGCAATGTGGAGGAACTCTGAGTGCCAAAGAACCGAAAAGAAAAACGGAGCAAAAAAATCAAGAGGAAAAACACGGGCAAAAGGGAAAATCTCTGCAGTCGCCATGTGTTGCATTTCAAAGTGTGTGAGTTATGGGTAGGGGGTAAATGGAATGGAAAACCCGGAGCGAAAGGAACACTGCCAGATGAGACGACAAATTACAAGATGTCGAGGGGAGACTGTACTGTGATGCTCTGCACCTGCGAATAAATCAAAATCCAGTGCAGCAAAACAACCAGCTTATTTCCACTAATTGGAGTTTGTACACGATGGAACTTGATAGTGCGAATTAATTTTGCAAGTCTTGATTTATGGGTGTTAAAAAGGAATTGGAGTTTTTTTTAAAAAAAAGTAATAATTTGTTTTTCGCATAGAAAATGGTTTCCATATTCGCTGTGAAGTCAAGTTCCCTTTTTATTAATCATTAAATATTTTCGCTTAGTGTAATTTCGTGTGTATCTTGATAAATCCATACTGATTTGGCTCCAATTACAAAAGGGTCAAAGGGGAGCAAAGTCCAAGTACTTCCCGCATGCAAATGATGGTTGATAATCAAAATCGACTCCATATTGGCCCTTACCAAAGTCAGCCTGCTTAAAATGCATATTTTGCAAGTACTCTCATATCAAAAATTTTCAAAATATTTGCTATTGCATAATGTATGTGTGGGATGAGGTCATCAAAAGCCACAAGGCACAAGTTATAGACCAAGAATTTGCTCGAACTGGGATGGGAGAACTTAATTCAAAGGCCAGGATATGCATTACATTTTTAATTGCTTTCGATGAGATAGTTTGCAGTGAGGAGGAAGGATGGACCCCCAAACCCTAATGCATATTGCATTTCAATCAGATTTGATCAGACCAAGCATGCATAGTTTGGTAATTTTTAATTAAGAGAAGCATTTCTTACATGAGTAACAAATTCGAACAAACTAGGATGCTACGTATTTATACGAATTTTTGGGAAGATAATTGGGAAAGATAATCTGAACTTTTGAACAACTTCTGAGAATGAACAACTACAGGAAATCAAGTGGAATATACTCCAAATTCTTTTATTTGATGCATCTCCTGAAAAGTTTTTAGAAAACTTTATGCTTCATTTATTTAGTTAGACTGTAACCTAAATCTCTGTCTAAACAACATTTTTTATCATAACAAAAGTTCGATGGCAGTTGTTTTCCAGTAAAAAAACAAGAAAGGAAAGCTAACTTCGGGCGGAGCCGAAGTTGATATACCCTTGCAGAATTCTCTATAATAATATTCTCCAAAATTATTCCTATGATGCATTCTTAATACTCATAAAAAATCCAAACTTCCTAACTTTAAAAACACCAAAGTTATGGCATTTCGAATCGTTCAGTTATATGGCAGCTATAGGATATAGTCGGCCGATCCTTATGAAATTTGGTAGGTCGGATTGATTGGCCAAATATAAAACCCATAGAAAATCCCAACTTTCGAACTTTACAAACACCAAAGTTATGGCATTTCCGATCAATCAGTTATATGGCAGCTATAGGATATAGTCGGCCGATCCTTATGAAATTTGGTACGTCGGATTGATTGGCCAAATATAATACCCATAGAGAGTCCCAACTTCCTAACTTAACAAACAGCAGAGTTATGGCATTTCCGATCAATCAGTTATATGGCAGCTATAGGATATAGTCGGCCGATCCCGGCCGTTCCGACTTATATACTGCGTGCAAAGGAAAGAAGGGTGTGTGCAAAGTTTCAATTCGATAGCTTTAAAACTGAGAGACTAGTTTGCGTAGAAACAGACAGACGGACAGACGGACAGACAGACGGACAGACGGACAGACGGACATGGCTATATCAACTCAGGAGGTGATCCTGATCAAGAATATATATACTTTATAGGGTCGGAGATGCCTCCTTCACTGCGTTGCACACTTTTGACCAAAATTATAATACCTTCTGCAAGGGTATAAAAACTTCTTGCATGTTCTAATCCAAAAAGTTTTGTGTAATTTTTACTAAATTTACTTCCCACTCTGGAGTTGTTTTCATGCAAATAAATTTTAGCTCCTACACTTTAACCAAAAACAATTTCCATAAAACTCAGTCTACTTGTGAAAGTCCTGTGAAATCCCCAGGACATTTATCAACGAAGGCTGTACTGGCAGCTTATTATTCTCCGGCCGCATTTCAATGGAGAAATTTTAATTAAGGCTGCGATGGGCGATGGTCGATGGTCTGTGTCCACTCACCACTAAATCTCAAATGTCAATGGGCTGTGGTCACAAATTTTAGCTTCCTGGCCTCCGCATCCAAAGCCATTTGTAATGGTTCACGGGGGAAAAGTGGAACTGCCACAGGCAGGTGTCGTTGTGGCCAACGAAAACAAAAAAAAAATGGTGAAATCCCAGCTCAAAGTTCGTTTTCCACCCACTTATTCCCTCTAAAAATGATAAATTATCCGTAAAATTTTGCAAAGTCCTGAAAATTACGCATTAAATCATGCAGAGAGCAGGAAAAACTGGGGATGCCGCCAAAGGGTCACCAAAGGGTTAAGCAGTGCCAAGTCATTGTATAGTTTACGACTGAGATTTCCTCCATTGAGGGTGGAAAGTTGCGTTTTATCGCTCGCATGAGCTGCAATTTTATTACATTTTTATATTTATTTTTTGTGTGCGCTGTTCCCTTTGTGTTTTATTTGGCCAAAAGGAAAATATTTGTATGTTACCCTGTTGGTCACGTTTGCTTTTTGTGCCGGGTCGTAAATTCGGACAAACAAACTGCAATTGCACAAGGTGAAGCATCAGCCAGCGATGAATATTCGCCCGCCCTGTTGGGCTATTTTGTATTTTCATTATTATTACCAGCCAGGTGTAGTCGTCTCCTCCGCTTGGCACATATTTCATGGCTATGATTTACTTCATTGTTCAGGGCTGTTGACCACCCCAAAGCACAACAACACAGCTCGAGCAGAACAAGTGCCCAGTTTTTGGCAACGCCCTCGCAAAACCTAAGTCCACATCATCATCATCATCGAAATGTTTGTTTTGGCCCCTTGGACTTGGGTCAAAACTATAGTTGAGACATGAACCTAATTTACTGCCTGAGTGCCTTTCATGCTGTTTGGTCTGGCCTTTTACGAAGAATTTCCAAATGTCTTTATCTCGTTGGCTCTCGTTTCCTTTTAAAAAGCATACTTTTAGTCCATAAAACTCGTATAAAATACACAAAGCTAGCCGGATTTATGTAACTTCAATTGTGAAGTGGAAAATACTCTTAATACTGTGTTTCAACAATGTTCTTATTTAATTATTAAAAGCTCACTTTTAATTATTGTATACCACAAAAATCAAGTCGGAAATAATGTATTTTTCTAATACATAAAAATAAAACTCTGACTTTTTCGATTTAAAGACCACCATAAAACTTAACTTGCTATAAGCAAATTTTTGGTCACATTAAAGTCAAACCACGACTTTTTTAAGGCTTCCCCTACCATAACCCTTTAATTGCTGAACGCTTCGAATTACAAAATTGGTTGGTTAATTGCTGGGCAACCTGGCTGACCCACTAGAATGTCAATCGAAGGGAATATCGGAAGTTCAAAAGCCTTAGTTAACGTCTGCTTAATTGCCAGTGAAGGAAACCAGGCCCACGCCTTTTTATCCAGTCAGTTGTGTAAGAGGGCAAACGCACTTCATGTTACCAGGATGCTTGAGCATCCTTCGAGGCACTTGATACCCCCCTATATACACACACACACACATATAGACAGGCTCTTAGTTTTTAATGAAGGCTCATCATCAACAATGTTGGCCCATAGAGGCACACGTAAAGGCAAGGTAGGGCTGCTAACCAATTACTTAGTCATTGCAGCCATTAGGGCAAAACAGTCGGGCGGGATAATTGACACTCCAGCAGCAAGGATAACACACCCAACCGAAAACTACCGCCAGTACTTGCTAGGCGTACGAACACTGGATAGCGAGGAGAATATCCCCCTGCGGGTCCTTAGATCACCCTGCTCCTCGGGGTCCCTATCACCGCCCTCCCCCGCCCCATCCATTTGTTGGCAGGTGAGCTGGTGCTTCTCGATATTCGGATCGTAGCAGATATTGCGGCGCCAGAAGGCGGAGGTCATGTCGAAGTCCACTGCATTGATGGGCGCCGCCATGCAGACGACCACTATTTTGTCGCGGCCCTTTTTCGAGAGCTCCGCATCCTTGCACATTGTTATCAGGACATGTGAGTGCTCGTTGGGCTTCAGCATTCCCCAACGGGGTCGCACAGAAAACTTGCCATACACTGTAGTTTGCACCTGGTGAAATTTATATAATAAAATAATGAATCAAAATCATTCGAGTAAAAATTAAAAATATGCATCACCTTATAGGTCACAGACTTTTCGGATACATTTCTGATGGTGATTTCTTGACTGTTGTTTGATTTGCAAAAGGTTAATGTACCATGCGGTGAGACTTCCAGAAATTTTTCAGACATTGTACTTAAATAGTTTGAGTAGGTTTTTAAAAAATTTCTTAAGTAATCGAACTAGACATTTACCTAAAATTTGATAAATAGTATTTTCGCACAGATTGTGGGAAACCTTCTGAATTTAGTTACAAAGAAATTAATATACATATTGTAAAAAGCCTGCTCAGTTATGGAAAATATTAACAGCTAATAAAAATAACAATAATTAAATTTGTTTTTTTTTATGATTAAAGGACAAATAGGATAATAGCATAAAGCTAATGAGAAAAGTCCTTTCAATCTTTTACCTTTTTCATTTATTTTAATGTTTTAAAATTGGTTTCCTTCAAATCCCGATAGGAGGAAATCAAAATCCTTTCTTTGCACCAATTCCCAACATTAATCCCCTCAGGCTTCTTAACCCTTTCTTACCTTTAGAGCCATAATAATCACCTTTTGGCCACCGCATTGCAGAGGCTCCTTTACACACAATTGACCTCGAATGTGTGGGACCAAGTTGTGGGCCACGTATTAATTACATTTCAACGGTCGCCGCTCAAGCAAATCAGAAAATCCGGCCAACGCCGACAACTACAACAATCAACATTTACGGCCAAACAATTTGCTTTCGAAACAACAAAAAGGGAAACAAAAGTTCCCACACACACGAAAGCACAACACACACTTTGGGTTTTGAGTTGGGCATTGCAGAGGCTTCCACAATCCTTGGCCAGTCGAGCATTTTGAGCTTAGCCGGCGCTTAGGCTAAATGACCAACCGGCAGTTGGTAGTAGTATGCAGTCCGGTAGCCAAGTGACCAGTGGCCAGTCCAACAACAACAACAATAAGCAGTAAAATTAATTGATTTACAAGTGTGAAAATGCGCAGAGCGAGACAGGTGGAAAGCCAGTGGGTCATAACAATAACGCCCGACTGAGAATGGGAATGAAAATGAAAACGAACCGAAAGAATGCGCATTTAGTTCTAGCTTAGTTCTGTGTATAAGCATACAGAGTGTAAACTAAAATCCGCTTAACGGTAATTGCCGTACCATGCCCACATGATTTACCCTTTAATTACAGAGAAAAAAATATAAAAAAAACAATGTAATGTAGTATTTAAAATACCATAATTTCTTTCATTTAAATTATTTAAATGTAAAATATGAGGAATTAAAATAAATTATTGGGATAGGGTACAATTTGAACATTAGTAATTTCAAATATTAAAAAAAAGGTTAAATGGGTGGTATATAATTGTGTGAAATTTAATGCATAGATTAGGTTTCTATTTTAAAAAAATTCTATATCACTTATTTAACATTTGATTCTTTTTGCAATTTAAATATTTTCATCTTTTGAAATGCAATGTTTTTTTCTCATAGGGTCAGAATATGAAAATAAATCAAATCAAAACCTGCGAAATGTATTTAATTTTCCCATGTGTAGCGTTATTTTGTCGCGTGCTCTTTAAAGCCAACTTAATGGGCCCCCAGGCCACGCCCACTTCCTGCACCTGCTACATCCATAAATTGCGTGTAATTTTGGATTTCTTACTTTTTGAATGCTCACAAAGCTCATTTATATTTCATAAACTTAAAGGTTGTGGGGGGTTGGGGCAATGGGTGGCCGGAAGTAAGCTTTTGTTTTTCAGCCGTTAGTTCCTTCCGCTTCGACTGCTTGTTTATTTGCCTACATTCTGTTCCGTTCTGTTGTGTTTTGTTTTTGTTTTGATTTGTTTGTTTGGGCCTTGTTTTCCGAGGCAATTTAATAAGCGTCTTGGGGCTTTGCGTGTTTTTTCGGAGCCCGTCGAAAAATCCTATAGGGTCTTAAAGGTTTCTATGGAAGAGGTGTTCCCCATTGATTGGATGGCATGGTTTGCCTTATTTATTGTTGACTTCGTTGGGCGTAGGGGGGCGTGGCCAGAGGACAAATATTGTTACTCTGATTGCATTTAATGTCTAAGCGCAAATCAATCAATGGCAACAACAACGGATAGCGTCTCGATTTCGCTGCAATCGTTGCAATCATGAGAGTCGTTTATTTGTTGCGAAATCGCAGCTAAAATGCTGTTCAATTGCCGTCTAGCTTTTCGGGGGTAATTCTATAGAGAGAAGTGAACTCGACTTTTGCCCACACAGAGAAAAAAGCGTATTAATAGCAATTATGTTAAAGCCATTTGATGAGAAATAAATGAGCTTATAATGACTAAGGGTTCAATTCCTGGGGGAGTTGAAATATGCCTGTATCCAAACAGCATGTAATTAATATGTAAAGGATGTGAATAAATAAGCAGAACAAAACTAAACAAATACGAGTATACACAACATAATAATTTGTTCTTATCATCTAAACAATTACATTTATCACGATGATCAAAGTACAAAAATCTTGTAGCATATAATGAAAATGGAATTAGTATAAACAGTATAATATAAAAATTAGTTCCCTAGAGTTTTTTGAAAAAAATCAATTTAAAATATTGTCAAATAAAAAAACTTTACTTTCTTAAGAGCTTGTTATAGTGTGACCTATATATTATAATCCCCAAATTGAGAATTCTTTGCCCTGTGCAATCCTTTAAGTATATATGAACCTTAGCGTAGATGTGTCACTGTAATGTGATATTTCCGTCTTGATTGTCCTTTTGGTTCAATAGACTATTTCAGTTTTGTACTTCATCATTCCGTTATCGATGTAAGAGCCAAAAGGAATTTGGCCACTCGATAATCGCAATCCAATTAAAAGAGAAAACTTGGAAAGTGCAGCCGAACATCAAACATGCTGAGTTTTTATATTTCTGAGTGGTCCACGTATTTAGCATGGGTCTCGCATCATTTCAAATGATATCCGCAGCTGCAGCCCTTTGGACACGCTTTCATGATGCCTGTTAGCCCATGAAAGAAGCCACATCAAAATATATACTTAGGCCAAATAAAAGTAAAGTTTTATCTCTCTCTTTTTTTTCCTGTGATGTTTTTTTGATGTTGCGCCAATTGACAGGGCCTTTAATTTCTTTGGTTTTTTTTTTCTAGTTGCTCTTTATTTTTGGTTTTTTATTTCCTTTGGTCTTGTCAACGCATCGTTCGGCTGCCATAATTCAAGTCTTTCTGTCTGTTGGTGGCACGCCGTTTGCATAGCCAAACATTTGCTCTTAAATAAAAATTTATTTGGTATTTGTGCGAGTTTTTTTTTTCACTCACATTTTGCCTTGTTTATTGACAAGTTGAGGAACGTGGAAGATCTCTTCGCTTTTTGTTTTATGTACTATTTTTTTTTTCGACTCTTTGTGTGCTTTGGATATTTGTCTTCATTTATTTTTATTGATTTTTGTGCTACCGCCGAGGGTTTCGATGCTGATTTAGTACCTATATGTACGATGGTAGACTGCGAGTGGTCAATGGCCAATTTCGTTTTCATTTGCTGAGCCAGTGAATAATCACAATGCATTTATCTATCGACCTTTTCGCACACTTTCCCCCTCACGCGCACAGTAGCTTTTCAATTATTTAATTTTCCACTCACGTTTTTGTTAGTTTTTCACGTAGTTTTTCATTGGCCCTCAAGCTAAATGCGACAAAAGGAAAATCCCAACGAAATTTGGCGATAAAAATCTCCGAATAAGAAGCGAACTAAAAGTGCATCTTCAACTCGGAGGCGGCGACATTCTCACGTTTCCATTGGCATTAAGGTTTAGTTGATCGCCTCCACCATTTAAAGGGGGCTGAAAGAGGGCTTACCAAATACACTCAGATATATTTGGTGTAATAATCACAATTGTAAAATCCAAAGGAATGCTTTTGTGATGATTTTATGGATAATAAATATTACATCTTTAATGAATGGCATACTTTATTGCCTTGCAATATAACATTATGTACCATACTGGTAGTTACTATTCCATTGAACTTTTTTCCCAGTGTATGTGCGGGTGTGCGCTACTTTTTCCCATTCACTCGCTTCATGCTTCATTTGGCAAAGCTGCAAGGCAATTGATGACAGACTCGGAGTTGGAGTTTCGACTTTGGGTAAGGCAGCATAAATTCCATTTATATGGCAAACCAGTCCTCAGCGCTGCAACATCATCATCATCATCATCAACTCACAGCCGTGATGCATCTTTAGCTTCTTCAGGTTGGGCCATTAACAACTATGGAAACTGCTATGTGGGCAGCCCAGTGACACACTAAAGTGCCACCTAAGAAAGCAGCAAAAAATCTTATTTTTTATATTAAAAAAAAAAAAATGTCTGCACGAGGTAACAGAAACCGCATTTAAATGCTGGGCTGCAGTTCAAGTTTCGCTTTTGGTTTTTGCAGATGCGCAGGCATGTTGTCCCCTTGTTTTCCCCTTCTATATCCCGATTTTCAACCAACCGGTTTTATGGCTTGGCCAAGCTTGCCTAAGGCCATCTATTCTTCTCGTTTTTTTTTTGCACTTTCTGGTTGGGTTTTAGCCGTTTTCCGTTGCCAAACGTTTTGCCGTTGTTGTGGATATTGCTGCTGTAGGCACCTGCATTTGACGTTTTAGGTTTACCGTTTTGCAGTGGCACTTTTCTACTGCTAACCTGGTCAGTTATTGCCCGCTGTTCTGGTCTGCCGAGGCAGTAATTTCATTCATAAAGTTTGCTTGCCCCAGCGTTTCGTAACTTTAAGGTTAATGGACAAAAATGGCCAAGCAATTCAGGAAAGTTCGCTTGGAGGCCATGACTAAATGTTATTTGGTAGTGATGGGCAGTTTCCGATTGCATCCTAAACCTAGAATATAATTTGTATATACAACAATACGCTTTCTGACATCGGTGCTTCATTTCCAAAATTTAAGGCAATTGAAATTTATAAAATCAGTGCAAAGCAATTGTAAACTGAAACCCAAAATATGCCACAACCATTATCTCCCTTTAATTACCATAAAATCACGGACAGCCTTTGAAAGAGCTGGGAAACTTGATCAGTTTGATTGAATATTTGAACGTAGTTATGGGGCATTCAAAATGGTCATAGGAAAATGTTTAAATAATAGTATTTTATCCTTTCCATGCTTTGAGCTGAGCCTTAATTATAGACAAGCAGCGTCGGGCTTATTGCATTACAGTGCTCATTACGTATACGAGGAGTGTGACGTGCTTTTCATTAATTTTCCACCTATCCAACCCCTCTCAGATGCCGCGATGATGTAGTGTTTGTCTTATTAAAAGATGCAGAGTGGCGAACATGGCATTTTGTGTATTTTGAAATAAATTTCCGTTCTGTTGATTTGCGAAACACATGCACAGGCACAAACTCACACACTAGAATTTATATCTTGCAGCTCGTTGTTGACACCCGCATGCTGCAATTTCAGAGCCAGAGCAATTTCTACAGTCATATTACATGTCACAACACACATACACACACACACCCACACACAGATCCCTTCACACCTGAACTTCCTTCTACAGTGCAACACGCTTTCGCTGTAATTTCCTGTTGGCAAAAACTGAAAACTGTCACAGGCAGAAAATCTCTCACTCTGGTGTTTGTGTGTATGTGTGTGTAGTGTCCTAATTTGCAAAGGACCAGCTCTCTAGTTTAATATCCTTGGCTGGCACTGCCGATTGCAATTGCCATGTAAATTGATTTGGCACGTGTTGTATTGCCTTCCGTGGCAATTATGGGAATGTGACCTTCGACCAGGCCGAAAAACTTGACCGGATCAGATCTCTCCCAAATAGGCAGTGACATATTGCCCTGACATCGATATAATACTTTCCAAATGTAATCTGGGCGACAGACGTGACCTGCATCGACCCACTTGCTAGTTATCCGCCTATTGAGCAATCACCAAAAATCAGTAGAAGTTGAATAAAAGCCCAAAGAGACCGGACTTTAATTCAAACAATCGGTTGGCGCGTGTTAGGCAAATTTTCAGTTTCAATTGGCATCGTTTTTTTTTCTCTTTTTTTTTTTGTGTTAGCTGTTATTTTTTTTTTTAATTGGCATTCGCGGCATGAGCCAAGCAACCGAGTTGGCCCGGCTTTTTAACGAGCGTCGCCCCAAATTTGCCATTGCATCGTAGACCAAAATTGGCGCTTCGATCGCTGAATTGCGTCAGCGATTGAGCAATTGGTCAAATGCCTTCTGACTGTGTCAGGTTCAAACTTGGGAGTCGGCATAGGAATACGTTATTGGTAATGGTAATGCTAATTGAAACGGACGCACTCGGCCAAAAGACTTTTGGTTGGAGGAAAGTACGCAGTCAAAGCACACGAAAAAATTTCACTCGCCATTCACGTCACGGTTTATTAATATTCCGTTGATGTAATGCGACTGACACCGCACACATAATTTATATATAATTTGGTCTGACTTCTGACAAGTGTGGCAGCCATTCGGGTTTGTTTAGTTTCTGTCCAAATATTTTGGTTCAATTTAAGATAACATTATTCAACAACACGCTTTGAGAATTTTTGTGAATTTTCGTTTTACTTAAAAACAAAAATTTCTCTATGCCAAAGATCAAAGTGGTTTTTTGTTTTAATATCCCAAATGTAAAAATTTAATTTACGCTTTTACATTACCAAAAGTACAATACTTTCAAATTTTGTTTTATATATTTTTTTTTGGAAAATACAGTAAACTTAGAATATTGTATTATTTTATTTTTATATGGTGCCCTTTTAAAATGTGAAATTTTTCTGGTTGCTAGTGTTATTATACTTCAATCACATTTCCAGTTTTGTTCATTTTTGAAATGCATTTCCCAGCGTGATTTTTTTCAGACTTCCCCCACAAATTTTTGAACGCATTTTTCTTTCATTATTTATGTTTATGTAGGCATATATGTTTTATTTTTTTTTTCGGCGTCCATCAATCACAGACTGTGGAATGTGTGACACACTTAAGCGTAACGCATACGCCGCGTGTGCTGCCAAAATGCAATATATTTAATGAGAATGGAAAATTGCTCTAATATTTTTTCTGCATCGAACCAACGAAAAAATTGCTGGTAGACAAAACGCTTGAAGGCGGCCACTTGAAAGCGCAGCGAGCGAAATTGTTGCAAAATGGAAACGTAAAGTGTTTTGTTGAAAATTCTCCAAAAACAACAGTAGCGAAATGTAAACAAAAAGCGATGGCAGTTGGCGCTGGCCCCAGTCAATAAAACAGAGCCAGCTGCCGAAAATTTTTGTTGCCTGTTTTTTTTTTGCTCTCTTATTTTTATTCCTGCAGAGTAACTACAAATGCAAATTGCCAGGGCCGCAGTGCTGAACGAAATATTTGCCATGTAAATATGGCCCCGAAAAAAAAATATATATATAAAAGAATATACTTTCGTCCTGGTCCGGTCCTCTGTTCAAGAGCAATTAAATGAAAAATATTTGCAAATGCAGCGAAGTATTTGCCTCAAGTGCTGTGACCCCGCCTTCGAAATGGTTGACAGAAAATTATAAAACTTATTGGGAGTTGTTAAAGGAAGGAGTTTTGGAAAGGCAAAAGGAGAACTTCAGGCAGACGCAGAAAGCAATCCAGACAAACACACACGCAGACTCATTAAGAGAAGAAGATGGTGGTTCTCAAGTGCAAGTCAGCACATTCCCTACGTCAGCAGCTGTCGGAAAAGAAGGGGAAAAGTGGAAGAAAAACATTTTCATTGGCACAACGGAATGAATTTTCATACAAATTTTATGTAAATTCAAGATGTCAAGTTTTTTTTTTGCACGCGCTGTTTAGTTGTACGTTTTTATACACATATATGTAGGTGAAGTATGTATGAGAGTGCGCATATATCATGGGGTGGCCAACGTGGCGGATGAGCAACATGAGCACCAATTTGCACTGCGGATTATGTCACGAGATGGGGAGGAAGGGGTAATGCCAGGGCAGAGATACTTGCACCTCGGCGAGATGTCATATGTGGCTTGCATTTAATTAACAAGCTAATTTTTCAAAGCGCAAATCGCCGAGAAGCCGAAACAGAACTCACACAAATATGACGACTGCAATTTGATGGCCGGTGCCAAAAAAAATATAAATAAAATAAACCAAACAGGCATTGATGTGTATGTATTTTGCGGCACGTTGAAATGGCTGCTTTATGGCCTGCTTGCCAAGATAGATGAACTGTGTCCATCGAATGAAATAGTTCAACGTCTAGGCATTTAAAATCGTTTTTGGTATTTTTAAACTACACTAATTAAACGAACTAAACTACAGCACAGGCATATTTATTCAGTCTGTTTTCGCAACCAAATGTCATGTCGGACACAAAACGTTTCTTAATTGAAAAGCAAAAATATGTTGCTGCATTTAGCATTTAAATCGTCCACTTACCTGCGTTTCTGTGACATTTGCATTAAATCGCAAAATTAATAACCATTTCATGTAAGCAGTTTGGGGCTGAGGCAACTTATTTCCTTGGCTAAAAACATATTAAAATGCCACTCACACGATAAGCCCCGTTCTTGCCATTTTAGCACCCCCAAAAATATATCCTGAAAAAGTTTCCTTTTGCCTCAGCACACTGTTGTTGTGTTTGCTCGTATATGTGTATATGAATTTAGCCAAGAACCAACAATAAGCTGCAAATTTTGCATATTTCATAGCTGCTGACAGAGGTTGGGTTGGAAATCCGGGCGAGACAAGCCAAATAATGGCAAAAATTTATACAAATAAAACTGACAATTTAAAGCGCATTTTGTTATACCCCCTAAAACCCAACGAAATCCTGGCCCACATCCTACCTGTTCGTCCGTCTGTCTGTGTCCTTTGTCTAACCAAGAGCTTAATACGGAAAGCTCTGGACCAGCACCCGATGGGGTTACCACCTGAAAAATAAACTACCTGGATTTAATTTTGCACTTTTACGGCACAACCAGACACACACAAATAGGAAAATGCTTAGCGTCTGAGTGGAGCAGGAAGGGAAATAGGAAGCCCAAGTAGAATGAAAAGTGTCTCCGGGCAAAAACTAATACTCATAATGTTCATTTTAAATGTGCACTCGAAAATATTGTTGAAGTGCAGCCCTAAAAATGTAGTGTTAACTGTTAAAAGGAGTTTATTTTGCCGACTTGTGGTGCAGACTTTAATGAGTTGTTTAGATAATAGATAAGCCCGTCAAAGCCGTATTTAAATAAAAGAAACAAAATCTTTTATTTATTTCATCCAGTTTACTCATGCTATAAAAGAATTTTATTATTTTTTATGATTAAGATCTAGCGAAATACTAGATACATTTTTAAAAATGTTTGAAATCGTTAAAATAATTTATTTCTAAAGTCTGCAGTACATGCTTTCTTATTAGAAAGATTGACAATTTATTTCTTGTGGTAACCAACTGCATTATTTTGTATGTACGTGTACAAAATAAAATATGTTAAGTAACTCATAATGTTATATGTTTAATTTCTCTTAAAAAAACTATATACAAGTATGGGGTAAACGTTGTCGTCTGAAATATGTACATTTATCGAACTTTTGATTTCTAATATACTTGCATAGTAGAGAGTTCGAACCGTTTGATACTTATGTATTATTCTCTTCAGAAAAAGTTATTTGTTTTCAATAGATATTTAGGGCGATTCTTTTTTTGTTGAGTGTACAATGGGGGGTACTTACACTTTTACGACCATTACTAATCCATGAACCCATCTCTCTCTCTCTCTCTGCTTCTCTTCCCCCGTTCTCTCTCTCTCTCTCTTTTTGTATTCTTTTCTGGATATGCAGCACATGGTGCAGGCGGGTGTGGCGCCTTTCCCGGGCGCTCCGGCCGGCTATGCCGCCGCACCAAATCCGGCAGCGGCGGCTGTTGCAGCAGCGGCCGCCGCCCAGCAGCAGCAGCAGCAACAACAGCAGCAGCAACAGCAGCAGCAGGCCCAGCAACAACAACAACAACAGGTGCCAGGCGGACCGCCCACAGCTGCCGACAGTCTGTCAATGGCGGTGGCAGCAGCCGCGGCCAAACAGGCTGTTGAGCCAGTGACCCAAATAAAAACGGGAGGCGGAGGCGAGGTCGCAGGAGCTGCCAACAACAACAACAACAGCACAGCTGGGGCGGCAGGAGCGCCAGGATCCGCCGGTGGATTGACCACAGAATATTCAACTGGCTGTGGGGGCGGTGGTGCATCAGCGGCCAATTCAGCGGTGGTGGCCACCAGTGTTTCCGACGTACACGTTTCGATGTACATTCAACAGAAGGTGAGTCGTGTTTGCCTGGCTAATTGTTTGACCTTTCCTTTTGCCCACCCACAAATCATCCCCCACTCACCCACTTTTCATACACCCACCCATCCACAACTCGCTCGATCTCACTCTGTTTGTGTTTGTGTGTGTTTGAAATGCATTTGTAGCTGTGTTTGGTTTTTGGCTTTTGGGTTCGCTTCGGTTTGGTTTGGTTTAGTTTGGTCTGCTTTGGTTTTTGCCCCGCTTTGATTTGGTTACGCACACTCAATATACACAGATGCCAGCACATGCCATTACAAAGATAACAACACTTCAATAAAGAACAAATTTATACCAACATATGCCTAAACGGACTAATAATTTAATTTAATTTATTTATTTATACATACTACAAAGGGTTAATTTTTAAGTTCCTTTTGAAATTCTTAAGTAAAATAAATATATCTGATTTAAACTTATTTTTCGTTAAAATACATATTAATTTGTTGTGAACAAAATACAGCAATCATATATCAAACCATTCAATTAAAATAGTATTATTAATGTACATATTTTCAAATCATTTTTAAATAAGACTTATCTTACTATCATATGTAAAATACACAATTTCTTTGAAATAGTTCAAAAAGTCAAGAATGTAAAAATTAATGATAAATGCAACATAAATTTGTAATTTTTTAAATTAATACTTTTAACTGAAAATAAGTTTATTCAATGATACAAATGACTTTTTTGAATTCTTTAATAACTTTTACTATGTTTCTTAAATACGGATTATTTTTAGCAAATATTTTTTCTCAGTGTAAGCCAGGGCATACAAATACACGCCGTGCTTGTTATCGCTGATGCACCTGGTCGTGTTTAGTCTGTATTTGTTGCTGGTGTGAACGCTTTGCTTTTGCATTTTTAATTGCAGCGAGCAGCACAGAGAAAAGTGCCAACAGCAAGCAACACTCACGCACCTTGGCATACACAAACACACACGCATTCGCACACACACACACTCACTGACTCACCTGTATTTATTTGCGATGGGCGTTTTATGTAGCATACTTTTTGTGGCTGGTGCTCGCTCACGTTTCTCATTTGACCCTGGAGCTGAGTTTCAGTATGCTTTGTAGTTTATTGTTTCTTCGCTTCTAATTAAAAATTGACTGTAGCACACACAACACCATCAAGTTGCAAGGGGTTTCCTAGAACATCCCCAAAATCGGTTGCATCCCACAAACAAAATATTATATCTTTCACCAAACAAAAATGTTTTTAGCATTTTCAGTTTAGTAACTGGGGAATCGGAAGATTTTGGTCCTAACCAGTTGAATAAATACAAATTCCAGTTTGGCTATTTACCAAGAGATATTTGCTTATGGAAATTGATTCGTTCATTTGAATAATTTAACAGATGGGAGCAGTAGTTGTATTTTTCAAATGGAGGTGCGGTTTGCATTTAGTTGGAAGTGAATTCGTACCTTGCAGGTGTTATAAATGAGCAAATATTGAATCAATGGAAATAAATAGTTTGTTCTTATGTTGTATTTTCACCTTTGACTTTCACGTTATTCGCAATTAATTAAATAACGTTCGCATAGGAAACAATGCGTATACGCAACGTGGAACAATATGAAATCTCACACCTTCAATAGCTTCACTGTTTTTGTTTCTGTTGTTTGCTTGGCCTGCGGCAAAATGCATCGTAAATGCCAATTAATTTTATACTTGAACATGGTTTGAGAATTTAATATGCTTATTTATGTACAACAGAAGTTTGCGGTTAGTTAAAGCAAATGGGGTGAAAAATTCTCAGCTAATTTAAATATTATATCCAAGGCTTAAGTCACTTGAATGTGCAATAATTCGGGTCAACAGAAATGTATTTATTTCCACTCGCCTACAGTTTCAATTACTCAGACAATTTAATTTAACCAAATGTTTATCAATATGAATTGGCCAAACAAAAAACAACAACTAAAATGGCTGTCAGATTAATTATTATTAAACAAATAAATTATAAATGATGCAGAAAAAGGAAACTGCAAATAACGAAAAGTATATAAATCCAATAAAAAAACCAATGTGTCATAGTTTAAATCATTTAGCTTTTGTATTCCTTCCAAGTATATTCATGTATTTTTTTGTATTCTTTAGTATGAATTATTTTTCAAGTCATTTAAATAATAATTGTATCAATTTTCTTACTAAAATATTATTTACTTTAAAAATGGTTTAGTAGTCTAATTGTTTAGATATTTTACATCGCAACAAAATATTAAAAAAAAAGTGTGTGTTCTAAAAATACTTAGATACATTTTTTGAGAACTTTACTTCGTTTAGGAATGGACGATCGTAAACAAGCATTTAGTTTGTTAACCACTCTGCATTTTGTCATGATTCATTATACTTATATATATATATACAAATCTTTATATGGTAAATGTAACAATTATATATTCAAGGCATGTTTCAAGCAATTAAGCAGCTGTAAAACGGTTGAGAGTAAAAAAACTAAGCTACCCATTTAAGAAAATTGTTGGTGTTGGTCGTCTGCCTGTCTGCCTATCTGGTTTTTTAGTCCACATTCACACTCTATCTCTTAATCCAAGTCCTCCACAAACACACGCACACACACACACAGAAAAATGCAGGCTGCAACTGCAACTAAAACGCAAATCCTTGTTGTTATCTGAAAATTTATCACAGACAAATCTGTCAACACAAACACAGACACAGTACGAGTACGAGTACAATGGAACCAGCCTCGCAGAACCAAGAGTCCCAGGTCCCATTCCGCTTCCACTGACAAATGGACATGCCATGGACCAAGTGCAGCAGCCACCAGAACACCAGCAGCATCTGCAATCATCGCTGCCCCCACAAAATGTGCTCAGCATAGTGAGTCAGCCACCAACAAAAAAATTATAATAAAATAAACAGAGGAGGAACAAAAAATATACATATATATATATATATGAGTGAAAGAAAAAAATAACAAATATAGAGAAGAGCCGGGCGGACAATTGAAATTTACGTGCTAGATTCTTGGTCTTACCATGTTTTCTTTTCCCATTTTGTTTTCCTATTTGTTTACCATGCTCATCTTCATTAGGCGACCAACCGACTGGCCAGGGTAAAGCTGCTTTTTGCCTCAACTTGAACTCTTTTGTAACTGAATTTTTGTATGCATTGTCATCATCAGGGAAACTTTGTTCTTTATGCCTTGCAAGAGCAGATGCTGGCCAAGTATTTCTATAATTAATTGAGTGGAGAGAATTAAATTCCAGCTGTGGGTATTATCTTAGCACCGAAACGTGCTTATAGGACTTAAAATTTATTACAGAAAAATATGGTGACAAATCATTTTTTGTCTTAAGTTATTTTCTTTGGCTTCACATAAAGTTTGTGTTTATTTCATTTTACATGAAATTCGAAGTATTTTATTTTAAAAGAAATCAAATAAAAATTCGTCATCTTGGCGTGCCAGGTTTAATTAAGGTTCAGTTTCTAAAGTCCTGAATAGGAAGCTGATTCAATCTTAACTTCGCAAGTAAAGCCACAGAAAGTATTCAAAGTTCAAGAAATGTACCCCAGTCAAATATTCAAATCGAAACAATTTAGTGCAAATTTCTTGACTTTTGCCGGAGGCGAAAAGTTTTCAAATTTATGCAGAAATTCTTTTAATGCCGAATCAAAGCACCGCCGGCGACCTTTTTTCAGCCATGTCGCGTGCCGCACAAAAGCATTTCGATAAACTAAAAAGCGTTAAATGTCATTTACGTGTAACCCGATACCCGAAACAATAAACCCTCCACCTCCGCCAGTTGGCCATTTATGGGGCCAAAGTTTTTCACGCCATTTCACTTTGGGCCCGAAATGTTCGGTAAACATGCAAACCGAAAACTGAACAAAAAAAAAAAAGAACAACAGCAAAAAAAATGCAAAGCGAGGAAAAAATGTGTATTGTCAGGGCGAACCAAAAATTTGTTTAGATTTATGTGTCAACAATGCGCAGCAAATTAAGTTAAGCGTTATTTCTATTGCCTACATTATGGGGCAAACGCAATCTCTCATCTTTTTTTTTTTCTTCCTACTGTTCATTCCGGTTTTTATTGCATTGTCATCGAATTTGGTCGGGCTCTTTGCTCGCCTGCGTAAATTGAGAATTTTTCATATTATTCCGATGCTGGGAGAAGCGGTGGTTGAAACAACAAACAATACCCGTCGATGCCAGTGCATTTTCAGTTTTAATAATGCAGAAATACAAAATGCAAACATTTCCGCGAACTCGTTGGGGGATTTCTGCACTGCGCTGTGGTGGATTGGGTATATTGCAACAGTTTGCGCGACAGTTTTATTGCATAAGTCAACACAAGTTTGTGCCACAAAATATGTACGTACGTGTGTGGGCCTTCCAGGCTCGTGTTCTCCTGTCTGTCCGTGTCTGTGTCTGTCCTTATTGTCTGTGTGTGCGGGGGTAGCTTTTTTTATTGGGTCAAACCCACACACATATGCGTGTGTGGCCTGCTTTTTCGCCCTCTCGCAGGATTTCCATCTCTCCCGGGATGTAAACCACTTGAAAATTGTATTTTCATTTCAATTGTTTATTTATTGCCGCACTTGTTCGCATTCGATTTGCCAGGCAACGCTGAAAATTCAACTGTAAAAAATATCAACTGCAAACAGCAACTGCAAACAGCTGGAGTACTTTTGAAACTTTTACTAAAATCGCATTTCCACTAAATGAGATTGGAAAATTACATTTTCACTTTGGGAGGTATTTTGGTTTTGTTCTTTTGTTCTCTCTATTGCAAAGGGTAAATAAAAACAATAGCTTAAATAAATAGCTTGTGGATCATATCTTTAAAGCTTCCGAACTTAAGTGAAATGCAGGATTCCACGGTTTAGTTTAAGCAATTTCTTTGAAAAAATATATGACAGAAAATTTTGACATAATTTGAATGCAATTTAATAATGCATTTATTCTGGGCTAGAAATAAGACTATAGAAATTCAGAAAAATCATAAAATAAGAATGTTAAATAGTACTATAAAGGAATGATTTAGAAATCCACAATTCGTGGAGCTGCTTAAGTAAATTTGTGGGGACACTATAGACTTTGATTATAGAGTACATCGCTTATTAAATTAAAATTAGCTTTAACCATCAATTCTACTTTTTAAATCCGTTTATTTGTTTGCAAATAAGATTTTAATATTGAAAACACCATACTAATATATATTTTCTTTATTTTTTTGCAGTCCACAGTATTGATCGCCAATGAGGCAGCAGAATCACAACAGAGCTCCGCCATGCCCAATTCTGGAGGTGGCAATACTGGCGGCGGCGGCGGTGGAGGCGGTGGCACGCCCAGTTCACCGCTCAGCAGCTCCCCGTCCAGCGTAACAGCTTCGCAGGCAGGCGGATGCGGACTAACCCTCAACGGCAGTGCCAACGAGGGCAGTATGTCCGGGGACACATCGCCGGTGGCCAGCGGCGAACCGCTTCTGCAGACGCCGCCCGCCCTCCAACAACAGCAACAACAGCAGCAGCAACAACAACAACAGCAGCTGCAACAGCCGCTCCTGTGCAGCAGTCCCACATCGATGCAATCGGCGGGCACTTCAGTGACGGGCAGCTCGATAGCATCCGGCACACTGGCGGCAACCAGCAGCAGTGGAGTTGGACTTTTGCCCACCACCGGATTGGATAGCATTGCCAATGTTGGAGCAGGTTGTGCCGTGGTGCCGGCCAGCACTTCGCAGGTGATCGCCCACCTGAATGCAGCAGCCGCAGCGGCCAGCGGCATCATGTCGCCCACGGCCAATGTGGCCACTAGTCTCAGCAGCGCTCTAGTCCCGGCCCAGTCGGTGCCGTCGGTGGTCGCCTCCCTCGATGCCAAGAGCCAGCCGAAGCGGCTGCACGTCTCCAACATACCGTTCCGCTTCCGGGATCCCGATCTAAGAGCCATGTTTGGGGTGGGTACAAAAATTAGATTAAAACTAAAATTAAATTAAGTAGTTCGACTTTTTCCATTGCTAAAAATATTAAAAATTATCAATGTCAAAAAAGAAGTTAGAGATGCTTAAAAGTTTAATATAGGAAGTATATATGTACATATATGGTATATATTTATATGCTTAGGATTATAAAAAATGTTATTTGTTACATATTAATAATCTTTGATGTGTCTAAAGAAATTTAGAATTTCGTAACTTAGGTTCATAAACTTTTCATCCATTCAAAAAGAATGCAAAAGATTTTTCCAGTAAGATATTTCTTTGAAAATTTACTATCCTTAAAGTTAACCCCTTGAAAGTTTGCTAAAAATTAATATTTATTATTTTTCTATTCCCCCCAGCAATTTGGCACCATTCTGGATGTGGAAATCATCTTCAACGAGCGCGGCAGCAAGGTAAGTTTCGCCAAACTTTCTATCCTTATAGAGCTCGCCGTCTCCCTCTGCAGCTATACCGCCTGCTTGCTCGCTCTCGCCCCCTCTCTCTGTCTCTCTCTGCCGCCAATTGTGCGGGACATTTTGCATCTAATTGTCGCACAATTCATTTAAATTATGCACTTCAAGTATTCCCAGATGGGATGTCTTTGTCCGTCGCCAGGGCAACCTTGTCGAGCTGTCTTTTTAACAGCATTATTATGCCCGGTCCGGAGCCTGGTGAAAATAATTGCATAGTTACCATAGCACCAGGAATTGTGCATAATTCAGGACCGAAGCCCCAACACCTTGAGATGCTCGAGGAGTTTTTTTTTTATTTTTTTTTTGGGGCAGGACAGGAGAGCGAGTGGCGATGGATGAGTTTAGCGGGCAAAGGGGAGAAGGAGGCGTAGTGAGGAGTAGTGCAAAGTAGGGCACGTGCATGTCGCAGTCGCAGACGCCACCCAAAAAAAAAAACCCCCCTGAAATCCGAAATCCAAAATTTCAACCCAACAACCCCACTTAAAACCCAGGAGTAAAAAGATGTGCCAATGGCCCCTGTCCGAAAGCATGTCCTTGGCCGCCTTGTTGATGTATTTGTAGCTTTAGCTTTATCTATTCATATATATAATAATAATAATAAATATACGACTTCAACGAAACCCGAAGAAGAAGACTTTGTTGTACCAATTCGTTATTTTTTAGTTTTTTTGAAAATCGTAATCTATATACTCTATATGTTTCTTTAATTGCATGTTTGATTGCGAATGGCAGGGATTCGGTTTTGTAACATTCGCTAACAGCAACGATGCAGAACGAGCACGCGAACGTCTACACGGCACCGTGGTTGAGGGACGCAAAATCGAGGTGGGTGCATGCCATATCATATACAACTTACCAACCAACACACACACACACACAGACACACCCAACTAATTTCACACAAACTATTATAAATATATCGTCTCACAGGAGTAGCGGAAAGAAATTGCTTTTCAACTTAAAATCCTTGCGTGTCAGAGCGATATGGCTTTAAAAATACTTCATACCACCTTCCTTTATTTTTGTTTTCATTTAATCCAAGGACTAGCGTACAGTGATTGATTCTTATTTGCCTTTCATTAAAAATTAATTACACATTTTTCCTTTCGCCTTCCTCTCTGATTAATGCTCATTGCGAAGGCCGCAAATAATTGGCATTTAAAATATGCTGAAAATGCGCAAAGTACGGAAAAGTTCGCCCGTCCGATGGTTGGTTAAACAAATTAACTGAGCCGCATAAAAGGCTGAAATGGAATGTTATTTCCCTGCCAAATGGCAGCGGAAATCGCGCGAGTCTAATTAAGTCCTGTGTCCACAAATGGCTGCCATATATATATGTACATACATATATGGCGCAACCGGAAAAGGAAACGAATGTCCGTCCGCTCGCCTTCAAAAATTAATTTTCTCCATTTTTTTCAATCGAAACAAATGAAATTTAAATAAAGTTCAACTTTGATATGAAAAGTTTCCAATGATAATGGACTGAAATTGTAGTCTTTTTTATGTTTTATGAGAGCTTTATCGAAAAATAATCCTTGTGGAGTTTCAATAAATTTTTTGGAACTTCTATTTTTTATTTGTATTACTTTTTTTGACAAATAAAATGTTAAAAAATACCACCATACATTGACCTTAAAAAATGTTTAGACGCCCTTTCAACAGACACAGCTCCACAAACACTTTCAACACTATTTGCAAAGATTTTCGTAATTGTTAACTAACACATAATTTATTTCTACATTCTCTATACATGCGATCTTTATAAATATATATTATATACTCTGCTCATATGTGTGCATATGATATAAAAAATAAAATCTTAAAAACTCATCACCAAACCAACAACAACAACTACAACAACCACGCTCGCTGATCTATCAAAAAATAAAATATAATAACCAATTGTGAAGGTGAATAACGCCACTGCACGTGTACAAACCAAAAAAGTGACAACAGTACCCAACGGTAAGTGACCCTAACACACTCACACTATTTTCCACACACACTACACCCACATATAATCTTACACACATACCCTCACATATATATATATATTCACATACACGGCAGCTAAGTTTAAGCCACATAATGAAACAAGTTGAAATGTTCGGCTAAGAAATGCAATTACGATGAAATGCAACAGTAGCAGCAGCAGAAGCTACGAAAATAGCAATAAAAGTCTGTTCAATTTAAGTGTGCATTGTTTTTGCTGCTATTGTTTAGTTTCTCAACATTCCTCAAGTTTTCGTTTTTTTGTTCTTCGTTGTTGTTTTGTTTGTTTGTTTTTGGAACTTTTCACATCAACTTCTTTGGTGGCCAAAAACTGAAACTAACTGAAACTGAGAAATTGAGTTGCCAGCGAATGTGTGTTTCCTAATGAAAATGTTACTACTTTTTTTTTCTTGCCTTTTTCGTTGGCAGCACACGCTAGAACATTTTCCCCGGCTCAAAGCAATCAAAAAAAAACAAAAGTTGTTAACTCAAATGCCACTAACTTGCGGGAAGCCATATTCAATATACGACCCCCCCTGCCTTTTTGTATATTTTTGTAATTTAATTTCTTGGGGTTTTGCGGCTGCCTAACTAAATGCACATTTAAGACACACCAAAGTAATATCTAATACACATCAAATTAATGCGTATTTGTGGTTTCGATTAAGTTATGTTTAATGCGTCTGCTTTGACTATGATATTGATGATGATGATAATGATTGACCAGCGTTATTTATATGATTTTCATTTTGTTTTCTCTCAAACACCCCACACAGTTGTACTGACCAAAGATGGTGCCATACCGGCCCCAGCTCTAGGTGAGCCAAATCCAAAAAAAAAAAAAAAACCTAAAACCTTCACCCAATAAAACAAAAACCAAAATGAAATAATGAACGTATTTCGTAATCTTTTTGTTTTTGTAACTTGTGTGCCTGTCAGAAAAAAATAAGTCTAAACTATGACACGAATGCTCGCTGCTTGCAGCTTCCGATCCCAACCGCCCTTCTATATGTTCGTTGGATTTTAATGAGAGGTCCTCAGATATGCCTTGGCATGTTGCACGTTAACTGTTGCTAACTGTGTATTGTACTCGCCCTCCCTTTATTGGCTGAATGAAATTAAAATTAAAACCTTCGCCTTAAACGTATCTACAAGTTAAATAAGATAAAGAATAAATCTTTTCCAGCATGTTACAAAAAAGCTCAAGAAATAAAAAGGGGTGCCCTGAAATCTCTAGTAATTCATAAGTTAAAAAAGTTTTTTGTTGTTTATCATAAAATTATGTAAAATCGGTAAAGATCTAAATTTGAAATATGAAGTGTACTTTAAAGGCTTGGATTATTGGAGAATTATTGGGCACCTTCAATTAAATATGTTTTAAAAAAATAGGATATAGAAATCAAGGCAATATATTTTTATGAATTTCGACTCAGGAGTCAATACATTTACTATTAATTAATTGATTTATGTATTGCGTTTGGAAATGGGATTTCATAAGTATCAATAAAAGTCTTCTTTTCATTATCTTACTCATTCTTTTCCTTTCTCATAACATTGCTTAAATTTAACTAAAGACTATCTATAAATTTATAGAAAACTTTTTGAAATATACCTAGATCCAAGTTTATTCTCTCTGATTGCTCAGCTATTTTCCCTCCTATTTTCTGACTTGATCTCTTTATAAATACGAGAATCAAAAATATCCATCTTAAAGTTCATTCAGCTAGAAGTTCTTAGTTATTTCTTGTACCATTTGCAGTTAAGCGCAGTTCCAGTTAAGGCTGTCTTCCCTTTTGCAGAAATAACTATAAAAAGTGGGATGAGAAGAGCAAAAGAAGTTGAAACCGAGAAAAGTTTTTCCATGCAATGTATAATAAATAATACTGCTGATTAAATCGTCTTCTCTCTCTGTTTGCCATTAAAAAGTATTCACAGCACAAAATCTATACTTTGGGTACGCTCAATACGATAAGCCGCTTACAAACCGAGCAAACCAAACCAAAGCGAACCGAACCCAAGGCATGAGATTGAAAAAGATGGGATGGGAAACGAAGGAGCATTCTGGTAAAGCGGCTCAGGACGTTGGCAGCTTTGCTCCAGCTCCAAGCTCCATCTCCAGCTGCTGCTCCTGTTCCCTGGCGGTCGGTTATCCTTCTGCCAATGCAAAATGCTTTTGTATTGCCAACAAAACTTAGACTCGGACACAAAAAGGGCAATATGACCGAGGACAGAGGAGCATGTTTGCCGCTTTTCCCAGCAGCTAGCTTCCCTGCCCTTGGCCATGTGCACGTGCACCTAATGCGCTTCATTTGCGTTGCACTAAATGCTGCTGGAGCCCAAGAAGTTTACCGGCTGTCACAGCCCATCTCAGTATACTACACTACAAAAAGTCACAATTTTCTAAAGAAAAACAGACATTAAATATTAGCTTAGTCTTAAAGTGAACAACTCATGCTTTATCTAGGGATATATGATGTCTTTCTTAAAAAACCTTTGCATTTCTTGAAATAATTCATTTGAAATATAAACTTATGTTAATAAACTAAGTATAAATGAAAGAATTATAATATATTTTTTTTCGAAGTGCAGACAGAAGAAAGCATCGAAAGGACATCGCAGGGCTCTATTTTCTCTAGGTCCTGGCAGTCACTTTATCACGTTTCGAACTGGCTTCTTTTGCATGGCAAATCGCCTGCTGCATTATTACCCAGCCGGAGGACGTCTCACGTCGTTGTCCTGCTCGTTAGGCGGCAGTCAGGGTTTCAGAGGAGTCAGGCAGTCAGGCAGTCAGTCAGTCAAGCGGCAGTCGGGATAATTGCAAATAAACCACAAAGTTGCAAACATGTGGTGGCCTTACCCCTGCTGGCAAAACAAACCACCCAAACGAACACACACACGCAGACATAAATTTAGCAAAAAAACAAGAGAGAACGCTATAGTCGGGTGCCCCGACTATCAGATACCCGTTACTCAGGTAAAGGGAGTGCGAGGGAGATGGAGATAGAAACTTTGATCACGCATAACTTTTTAACGAATGGTCCGATTTGAAAAATTTCTTCTACATTTCGATAGGTATTGATAAACACAATAAAACTGCATTTTTACTTTTCCGAAATATTTAAATTTTTAAAATCGTATATAAGCGATTGTGGGCGTTAAAGGGGGCGTGGCACCATTTTGAAACAAACTTGCGCTGCGTAAGAACTTCTTAAACCTACATGCAAAATGTCAATCTTCTAGCTTTTATAGTTTCCGAGATCTCAGCGTTCATACGGACAGACAGACAGACAGACAGACAGACGGACAGACAGACGGACAGACGGACAGACGGACAGACGGACAGACGGACATGGCTAGATCGACTCGGCTAGTGATCCTGATCAAGAATATATATACTTTATAGGGTCGGAAACGCTTCCTTCTAGCTGTTACATACTTTTGCACGAATACAATATACCCTTTTACTCTACGAGTAACGGGTATAATAAAGTTTTCTGGTTATTCAGAAGGCGGAGTAGCACTCTTGGGGCGAGGGGCACAAGAACGTTTTATCCAAGCCCTCTGTTTTGTTATGTCTTATGCAAATGCGCACCCCACACGCTTACTTTGTGCATTTGCAAGAAAATTTACTCCGTATAGGTTGATTTTCCCGCACAATTTCCCCTCTGACTTCTGGCTCATCTTCCTGCCATTTAACTTTCTTGGTATGTGTTTTTCTTCTTTTTTTTTGCCTTGATCCTTTGACATGTTAAACTTAATGTCCCCCTTTACTCTGTTCCCTTTTTTTCACGCTGGTGTCTTTCTGTCTGTCTGACATGTCTCTTACTGCATTTTTCGATGGTATTTCTGGGTATTTATTTTGCCATTTTCCAAGGCAATTGCAGACTCCTGTGAATTTCCATAGTACAAAGAGACAAGAGCTCATTGTGTAAGCATTCGATCGGTGGAAGCAATCATTGCTTGCTTATTTGTCGTTTTATTAAGCTTTTCTTTTGCATTTGCAATGAATGCAAAGCTCAAATGTACAGAGAGAAAAATAAATATCTATTAATGCATAAGAACATTGTATTACCAACTTGTAATCTCAAAATTAGTTGTACATTTCTATTGCCTATCAACTTAAAAACTAATTATAAATACTACATTTTCCAACTACCCTGTTTTATGAGAATATAATCTTCTTAAAGACTTTTCTCTATGTGGAAACCCAATTTTAAATTCACATATGTATGCAAATGCCTCCCATTCCCAATGAGAGAAAACACAAGGATGCTGCATGCCCAGCAAACAATGAAAACACAATGCCACAAATCAATTAGAACTCTACAGTATTTAACCAATTACCATAAGCACTAAAAAACAAAATCAATCTAGTATCTGTTATAGAGCTGCCTGTTTTTAATGTGCCTAAGACATGTATCCAACAATATTTATTATGGGCAAACCAACAAAAAATGCAACAAAAACTCTATTTAAATGCGAAACTAATGAAAATATTTTCTTTTCCCTTTTCCATGCCAACGATATAAAAAAATAACAATATATTTGCAAAAATATATAAATCTCTTGCCGGACACAGTCTGCGTACAATGGCCCGAAGGTAAGCGTTTTGTCCATATTTTTCTGTTAAATGTTTTATTGCTATTATTACGTATTTATTGCCTGCCGTACTTTCGTTGTAAATTCTCAAATAATAATACACACAATTAAACACCACGCCCATACAGAGAAGCAATAAGTTATCATAAATGTACAATAATCGACCAGTTTTCGTTTCTGTAAACATACATATAAAACAACAACATGTATTTTTAAGAGTTTTATCAACGAATTTTTTAGCTCTTAAGCCGAAAAACCAAAAGCAAAAAACCAATATTTAGGCAGGGCAAAAATGTTGATATTGATATATGGCTATTGAAATATAAGCCCATGTGTAGGTCATCGACGGGAGGATTAAAAAGTCCAGAGTTCACCAAATGAAACCATTTTAGCGATTGCATTTGTTCGTTATTCTCAGTTTTATTTTGTTGCAATCTGCAAATATGTTTGAACAAAGTATATATATTTTTACGAGCATTTTCTTTCGTTTAATAGAGATATATAAAATGATTTATTTTTTTGGTAGGTCCCGACGGAAATTGCGTTAATATATATAAACTATGCATACAATCTATATATGAATATAATGCTGCAACTTATTTGATAACCGTTTGTTAAACTACATTTTTTCTGTTGTATCATTTATTATATTTTCGTCTGCATATAACCAAAGTTCAATCAAAGTGAAAAATACCAAGCAAGACAAAATTACCAAAAACCAAAAGAAATTGAATTTGAAATCATAAAATGCCACATTAACACCCGCTCGAAAATCCCGTTTTAAAAGCAGGCCCGTCCGCCACTTTTTTCTAGTCCTGATTTTATATTAATAATCGATAATGACGAATAATGCTGATGGCAATGACTGAGATCATTATACTGATGGTTATGAGTTTAGCATATTGCGGCTGTGTTGTCTTATGCATAATACCTACTATATATACTTTATATATCAATTTATATGCCAACTATTTTATCCACATATCCTTTTCTTAACCAGTTTCGTTGTATGTGCGTTTCCATTATGATTATGATTATGAATTTGACTTTGAATTTGATTATTGTGTATTTCTTTGTTGTCCTGATTTACATTATCGTTATTACACGTTTTACGTTTGGTCTGGTATTCCTTTGGTCTGAACATGTCTGAAATGCTCCTTAGCGTAAACTATTTATACTCGTACTCGTAACTGTAACTGGTAACTCTCGTCGCGCGCCAAGATCCAACCAAAGTCTAACTTAGCACTAGAACTAAGCCAAAAAGCAACAAAAACAGCAACAGTAACCTCATCATGCATCCCACGAATATGTATATACTATAATTAAAAAAAAACAAAAACAGAGAAACCCTCCCACGCACACACACACCAATAACACTCGCATTCTAAGTTCATTTTAATGGTGACCCTGCTGGTCAGAAGAAACAAAATTGAAAACAAAAGAAATAAAAATCTGTATGCCAAATCCAAGGTTATCGCCTGCCGGTCGCCGCCTGGCCGTTCCTGGGCGCCCCCGTTGGCGCCGGAGCCCCCGCCCTCACCCACCTCCAGTTGCCCGTCTCCATGCAGATGGCGCAAGCGCCGTCAGCGGTCGCGAGCGGTACGGCGGCATCGTCCGCATCCGCAGCAGCCGCCGCCGCCGCTCATGCAGCGGCCGCAGCGGCGGCCACGCCCATAATGCTCGCGCCACGCCCACCGCACAGCGCTGTCCAAGCAGCAGCGCCCACAGCAGCAGCGCCACGGCGGAGGTACGACGACCGAAAGTGTCCCAAAAAGGATCCTCGATTCGGGGTCCTTGGTGAAAAAGCGCGCCTAAAAGCAGAATTCAAAAAGCTGGAAAATATGGAAATCGTTTACTACGTTTATAGGCGAGCAATTGGCTAAATAGAAATACTTATGATTTACTACTTCAAAGTTAATCGTCAAAAGAATTCTGTATATTGCAAATTATTAAAAAACTCAAGAGCACTTCTAACATTCCATAACAAAGTAAAAATTATAGATATTTGTCAGTAAAAAGTATCAAAAACTTTACAGTAAAAATCAAAAGTAACACTAATAATGTAAATTATAATATAATATAAATAATTCAATTTTTAACGGCGCTATAATTGTAAAAATTCTAATTAAATTATAATAGTTAAACTTGTAAATTCTTTGAAACCTTTTAGAAGTTGAACTAACTAAAACTGTTTAGTTCACTTTGCCGAACTTGGGTTATGTTAACTCAAATAAAGCCTGTTTGTAAGCGTAGTAAACGATAAACCGATAAAAGTATTAATTAAACACTGCAACAACAACAACTAGAACCAGAACCAAGATCACCAACTCTTTAGCTATGAGAATCTTTGTACCATAATACAGTATAAATGTTTGTTGTCTTGTTACTTTGGTTTACGCATTTGGGTATGACTATTTGACTATCGATATATTCCATAAATATTGCATACATTTTTGGCGTCCTTGAGATTGCATTGTTCCAACGACTAGGCACACACACCCACACCCACACTCTCGATCGAAGCAGTATATTTGAAATAAATAAAACTAGTGGCAACCACCTGAAACTGTAATCGTAACTAGCTGTTAAGAATGGCAAGGTCTTAGCTTTAACCATAGTCTAAATTTTATATCGTAACTATCGAATATATCGTAACGTTTATCGGTAGCGAACATTTTGCCGCAGCAAGCATTTTTCGTAAGGCCTTTCTCTTAGAGCATCACTTTCTAGCAACCATACTCTCGTACTCTCTATTTGTTCTCTATCCAACTATCCCGCTTACCTCAAAATCTTGTTTGTTTGTTACAATTTGCACGATTTTCGATTTTTTGTGTTTATCTATATAACTTGGCTTTGAAACAATTGAAAAGAACACGCATTCAATTTGCCAATTAAACTCCCAAAGAGCAGAAATCGAATGGAATTTTTAAAATTGATTTTTGCATGCCACCTAGACCACTCCAAAAAGTTATTTCATTTCTTTGATTATTTTGTTGCCAAAGCATTTAATTTGTATAGCCACGGAAATTAGCAGAGAATTTTGCCAAAAATATTTCATCTCAAATTCGTTCAACATTCTTTGCCGAACACACACGATTTAAGTTTTCGTCCAATAATTTGCATACAAATATGGCAAATCGAATTTTTAATTGCATATTGGTCAAACAAATTTTCAATTTGTGGCACAATGTTGCCAAACGGAGTGCACGCTCACACCCATTCAGAGCCCCACAAAATAATTTCATACATTTCAATTATGATTTGTGCACTGATTTGCACTGAAAATGTCATAATGCTACGCATACCTGTGGCCGATCATAATGAGCAGGCTTTCTGGTTACCTGTCGGCTTTTCTGGCGAAATCGTTAATTATGGGGCCTCCATTATAATAAATTGAGTGATAAAACCGCGTGGAATTATTTAAAGAACAATATTAAAACGTGCGGTTATGTGGTCCGTTTACGAATTAAAAGCAAATTAATTGTAACTAAAGGAAAAATGTAAAACAATTGCAGACGAATATTCTGTTGTTAATATGAATTATTCAGATCGGAAATTTAAATAGCAAGAGGCTTTGTGCAAATAAATATAGTTCAAAATTATAATTAATTTTCGTTAATTTTGATTTACCTTTTCTAATCATTTACCCTCTTGGCATGCAAATCAACCTATTCCTATCCACACCCTACAACAAAATTTCACTTCCCAAAATTAAATCCAAACCTAAATCAAAATCTAAGTCCTAAACTGCATTTCAATCGGCCCAATTGTTCTATCATTCCACTTAGCACTTGGTAAATGTTCTTGCTAGTTTTAAATGTATTTGAAAGGTGCAAGGGTTAAAACAAAATTAAATGTATTTTATTTACTTAACTGCTTTTAACCCCCTCACAAACACACACTGCTAAATGCAATGAGTTGTTGAAATAAAAAGGTCTTGCCGCATACGTACACATTTGGATGTATGTACATATGCTATATACTACTGTACTAAAGATCGGTCCAATGTTTTTTCGTATTGTTGATGATAATATCTCTATATATATATACATAATTATGCAATATAAAATGCAACTACTGCGTAGCATTTTTTGGTAATTCAGTGTTCTAATGTTTAAGTATGTTTCGATATAAATCCCATTTACATATGTATGACCTACACGTATGTCTTATGTATTGTTATATGTATATATCAACATCATCTCAGCGCTATGAATATATACCAAAACAAAAATCGTTACTACATAATGCCTAGATTTGCCATATACTATATACTATATATAAATATTTACTTATATATCAAGAGAGAAAACTAACCGCATGCGTTTTATGTTCTTTTCTTTTCCTTTTTCTACTTTTTGCACACAAAACACACACATAAACCAAAAAAAAAATATATAAACAAAATACACTGGTCAAAAATGTTGTGTCAAATGGTTGCAAAAAAAAAAAAACAAACAAAATATATAAATCCCCAAAAAATATACGAATTTCCGTATCGGTTCGGTGATTCCTGCAGCCGCCGTTGCCGCCGCAATGCGTGGAGTGGCCATCCAGCGCGGACACGTGGGCGTGGTCGGCGCCGCCCCCTACCATCATCCCCATCATCCGCATCATCATCCGGCGCTGCTGGCGGCCTCCGCCGCCGCCGCCCAACAACAGCAGCAACGCCAACTGGCCGCAGCCGCCGTGGCCACAGCAGCAGCCGCCCAACAGCAGCAGCAGCAGGCGGTTGTCCAGCAGCAGCAGCAACAAGTTGTGGCCGCCGCCCAGCAGCAACACCAGCAGCAGCAGCAGCAACAACAGGCGGTGCAACAGCAACAGCAGCAGCAGCATCAACAACAGCAGCAGCAACATCAACAGCAGCAACAACAGCAGCATGCCGCCGTAGCCGCCGCAGCTGCCGCTTCGCATCCGCATATGCATGCCGCCCATGCCCACGCCCACGCCCACGCCCTTGGCCCCCAGTTGGCGCAACTCCAGGCGGTCGCTGTGCCGTCAGCGGCCAACAGTGCCGCCGCACTGCAGCAATCGCTGGCCAATGCACTGGCCCAGAATCCGAGCGGTAATCCCAACGCTGCCATAAACGCCGCCTATGCCGCTCGCCTGTCGGCGGCGTCGGGCGCCACACAATCGTCGCAAACGGCCGCTGCTGCTGCGGCTGCTGCTTCCATGGCCGCGTCGGCCAATGCGGCCAACAATGCGGCCGCTTTGCATGGATTCGCGCCGTAAGTAGAGTCCGCCGTGGACTTCACTCCGTCACACCCGCGATCCCGCCGTAGTTAGTCCGTTGTAGCCGTAACTTTGTACTTTAGTTGGTTCCGCTGCGAATGTAGTTTTAGCGCACCCCTATTCATTATCAATACTACGTTTATACGCACGCCTTTGAAAACTATGAATGTAGAGCTATTTTTATTTATTTACTTGTTTTTCTAAATATTTAAGGACTTTTTCTCTTTTGGCTTTATTTTTTACATTTTGTCAAGCAAATTTTTAAGCAAATAATAATATAATTATAACTTTTTTTCAAGATTCGAATGTTGACAAATAAATATTCATACATTGAATGTCATTAAAAGAAGCAAAAGTTTACTCCAATCTCTTCCCAAAAGATTTATTAAGTCTTATTCATTTTTAAATGACAAATGAAATATTTAGGTATTTGTTTTCGAATTATAAAGTGAAATTAGTGTTCAAACGACTATTAATATTTTAATACATCTTTTTCATTGTACCATAAATACAATTCTAACGAATTTGTTCAATATTATTTGAAAACTAAATTTTTAAAATTTTGTTTTGTTTTTTATGGCAGGCGTATAAACGTAGTAAAATTCATAATTTGTAAAATTATTTCCCTAACCTATAGTTTCTTTTGGTGTTGCCTAAGCCGCAACCACTGAAGAAATCCCTCTCATATTTCATGATTTTAACCTAAAGCTTACATTGTTTATAGCTTAAAGATTGTTTTTCTTTCCATCTCTCTCTCTCTATGTTACTCTTATACGTCTCTATCTTGTTGGTGACAAATGTTTTTTAGCTATCTTGTGTGTGTAAAGTTTTAATATCGCATATAATGAAACCTAGACTTTGACTTATTTTGTATAAAACCAGCAATAGAAGAGTCTAACGAACCGAACGCAAACTGAATACAAAATTGCAAAAGCAGCAACCGATTAACGCACGCTAACACACACATCCACGTAAACTATCTATAACTCAATATATATATATATATATATACACGCATATATTTGCTCATACTCTGACTGACAGAAGTGTGTTTTTGGCATCGTATGACTACCTAATTATCGTTATTTTGGTTAAGGGACCTACTCGGTTGTATATTGTGTACCACTAGGCGTATGATGAATTTCGGTTTGAATTTGACTTGAAAGTGTTTTAATGCGACTGCGTCGCTCTCTGCCAGCGCCTTGCGTGCATGTTCTGCCCCGACATTATATATATATTTATATAGACCTTTGATTAACTTATTTTTTTGTGGCTGCTCTCTACACACACTCACCCATGTATCCAATTTCACACCATAGCGTACGAATGAATGCTCCATTAAATATTGTATACTTATAAACACACATCAAGACATGCCAATCCAAAGAAGCAAAAAAAAAAAAACCAAACTAATTAACTAGGTGCATGAGTGTCTGTTTTGTCTAAAGATGAAATGCAAAATTGAAGCAAGCAAGCAAGACAATTTTCGTAGTGTTTTGGGGAATGGAATGACCCATGTATGTGGTTGGTTGGTTGGCTATCTTTGTATTAGTACTCTATATAAACGACAATATCTAAACCTTTTGATTTCCCTTTGTTTCGTTTTCTCTGTCTCAAACATTTCCTCCAATCAGTTCGTCATCAAGTGGGGAATCAGGTCAGATCAGGTCAGTTTAGCACAGGCTATTAGCTAGGTAGGTGGGGTGTCCACTTTAGGTGCCAACTTTTGTTTTTCAGTTGCCCCTTAAGTTTCAGCCATTTACCCACAACAACAGCATCCGGTACCAAAAAAAAAAAACAACAACATTTAATAAAAACCAAACAAAAAACCGAAACCGGACGTGGATAAAGTTTTATTGGCCAGCGAGAAATATTTAGCATTTTTTTTTGCGTATAACAAGCAAACTTTATCCCGTCTGGTTTTTCATAGCGCCCAAAATCAAAGACCACACAAGTGCGTTAAAAAAATGAACCAAAAGAAAAATTTTGAATTTTGCTTTTAAGTGCCATAAATTGGGTGAGAGGCAGGAATTCAGGGGAGTATTTTATGTATTCCTCTGTCTGGTTGCCTCTCATTTAACTCACCCTACCCAGACACGATCCTACCTTGATTTTGTTATTAATATATGGTCTTCTCTTATCCATCTTGCCCCCAACGCAGTGTATACTATGATCCCTTCTTAGCAGCCGCTGCATCCGCTGATCCGAATCTACGCTTCCAGGTGAGTTTCGTCCAGCCAAATAGTCGTTTACCTAGTCTTAAGTTAACTCTACGTATTTAAGCATAAGTATAAAGCCTAGTCTAGAGCTTAAACGATCCCCTAACTTGCCACGAAAATACATGAAAATATTATATAAATCTTACAGGCAGCCAAACCGGTCACTGAAGTTCCAGCCGCTCAGCCAGCCGCCATATTAAATGTAATAAAACTTTTTCAAACTAATATCCTAACCACAACCACCAAAAAAATTAAGAACAATTCAGTTTTAATTTGTATATTTTTATGGTAGCTTGTGAAAGACACCGTTTGAGTTTTGAAACATTTGACTTGGTTTTTGGAAGAAACGTTTTTATCTACTACTCATACGTATATTGTTTTAAGTCGCTTCCTTTAAGTTTCCTTTTGCATTATCCACGTCCATCCTGAACTAACGACGCGTCCTAATTTCTTGCTGTGTAACACGTTTAAGTTGAGATCGAACTTGGTAACTGGTCGTAAATCACTTTATTTTCTTGACTTAAGCTTGGCAAAGCTTACTTAACTCAATGTCTGAATAACAGAACACTTGTGTATAAGCTCTCTATCATATAATTGCATCCTTTGTTTGTTTTTCTTTTTAAACAAAAAATCAATTAGTGAACACAGGTGGCTTTATAAACCATACGCTCTCTTTGACTATTTTAATCTATATACTTTTTAAGTACTTCTGCTAGTTTCCTTAATTTGTTTCACAATTTTGCTTTCGCTAAATAATAATAACTACAAACTATTTATATAAATATTTACTATTTAATGCTGTAAACATTATGTAACTACTACAAATTCTTCTTTGGTTATCTTTCACGACTGTTACAACATACTCAACTCAACAACAACTATCACAACACAATTGAAAAAAAATATAAACTGATTGAAATACAAAAACCATAAATTACAGCGCCGCACTGTGACTACGCTAAACAGTAACCCACATACGATCAACCGCATTCCGGTTCCACAGAATGTTTTGGTAAAAATAATCAAATCTAGTTCTAGTTCTCCATACCCATGCACCTAGATATCCTTCCCTTCCGTTTGATTGTTGTCTCATTTTTGCGTTTTGCTCAATGCCTTTTTGTATGCACCATTTAAACTGTATGTCTATGCCTTAAGTCTTAAGTTAACCCTAGCAAGTAATTCGATACGATAAGTTATTTACTGGTTCGTGCCACGCTTTTCGGTTTGATAGCCTGGCATCTTGGGTTCTCCGTAGCTCGGTTCAAAAAAAAAGGTACCAATCACCTGGCTTAGATTTTTAAGTGTATATAGAATATTTTTAATCACACTACTCCACTTGTTTGCACCCGTTTTTGGTTTTGGTTACAACATTTATATATATTTATTATGTGTGTGTATACTTTTGGCCTCCACCGGTTTGGGTTCCTAATTTCTCACCACACTTGCTCTCTCACCGTCTACTCCGCTAGTCTTGTCGTTTGCCGTTGTTGCCCCACAAAAAAAAAGTAAAAGATATATACAAAAATAAATCCCAACCCCCGAAATGTAACTGCGTCTGTTTTTCGAGTCGCCGCCCTCATGTTGCCCCAGTTTAACGCCCCATTTGCTTAACATTATTCCAGGCCACTGCTCCGCTGTTAAAGACACCGCTGTCTCAGGCCCAGCAGCAGGCGTACGCCACGGCGGCCACCACCTACACGGCGGTAGCCGCCCGGGCCGCCTATGGGGCCGCTGCCGCAGCAGCCGCCCAGCCGGCACTCGCCGGCTACGCCACCGTAGCTGGGTAAGTTATATATCCCCGATCTCATCAGCTGCAGAGGTAACCTGCCTCAGCACGACCCAACACCCAACATAAACAATATAATCATGAACCTCCCATTCACCTCACGATGACTTCAGTTGGAACTTAACTACTACATTTAATATAACTATTGACCTCTTTTTAATGAGTATTTAAACAAGTATTTAATTTCCTTAAGCCCAACAGTTTTATCATTATTATTTTATTGTTAATATTCCTTTTTATACCCTTGCAGAGGGTATTATAATTTTGGTCAAAAGTGTGCAACGCAGTGAAGGAGACATCTCCGACCCTATAAAGTATATATATTCTTGATCAGGATCACCTCCTGAGTTGATATAGCCATGTCCGTCTGTCCGTCTGTCTGTCCGTCTGTCTGTTTCTACGCGAACTAGTCTCTCAGTTTTGAAGATATCGAATTGAAACTTTGCACACACCCTTCTTTCCTTTGCACGCAGTATATAAGTCGGAACGGCCGGGATCGGCCGACTATATCCTATAGCTGCCATATAACTGATTGATCGGAAATGTCATAACTCTGCTGTTTGTTAAGTTAGGAAGTTGGGACTCTCTATGGGTATTATATTTGGCCAATCAATCCGACCTACCAAATTTCATAAGGATCGGACGACTATATCCTATAGCTGCTATATAACTGATTGATCGGAAATGCCATAACTTTGGTGTTTTTAAAGTTAGGAAGTTGGGATTTTTTATGAGTATTAAGAATGCATCATATGAATTATTTTGGAGAACATAATTTGCAGAATATTCTGCAAGGGTATTTCAACTTCGGCTCCGCCCGAAGTTAGCTTTCCTTTCTTGTTTTAATTTATATAAGTATATCAATTATCAACATTCTATAATTATATTATTTACCCTTTTATTAATTGTAAATTAAAACAGATTTTTAGTTTTTTATGTTTTTAGATAAAAGCTTTACAATTTATTTACAATTTACGTAAATAATAACCATAGAAAGTATATTTTTATAAAAGTGTTTAGGTTTATTAGTTTTTAAGTTTATGATTTTGATTATGTATTGAAATTTGCACATCATATCTTATTATAATTTTACATTCAAGTTTTAGTTCTTGTTTATTATTATATTTATTTATCTAGTTATAAATCTCGAAGTTAACCTGAGTATTGTTTATTTTTATTTTTTTTATTTGTTGTATTATTATTTATTATATAAGTGCTTTGGATTTATCTCACTTTTCTATTTGAAATTTGACTAATTATTTGATTTTACCTCTTCTTTTTTAAATAACTTGACATTAACCATGTTTAATTGAGTAAAGTTTAGAAATCTAACACCGAAAACTGAAGAGGTACCACTGTCGATTGAACACTTTTGCAAGACCTTATCTAAACTAAATAACTTTTATTAAACGATTAAGAGCAATAAATCCGACTGGAATCATCAATCAACCATTCTATATCATTAAAAATCAAGAAAATCGCCATTGAGTATTACTAATAAGGTGAACATACGTCACAAAAATATTTATAGATATGCGCGCGAATATGCAGATCCTTATCTAGGACATGGCATTGGACCAGTTCCTGGATACGGGGTAAGTTTTTTTTATTATTATTCATCCACTCTAGATTAAATGAGCTCATATCATTTTATATAGAACATTAATATAATATGACCTTATGTTTTTAAGAAGTTGTTTTCTTCACAGAACATTTTTAAAAACTATCATATTTTCTATTCAATTTTATTAAACCTCTAAAATTCCTTTTTTCATCCCATTTTTCATAAGGCAACCATGTATCGCGGTGGATTCAATCGTTTCACGCCATATTAAGAACAATCTACGCCAGTCAGCCAAATAATGCACTTGAACTACTCTCGATGAAAATGCTCAATATATGAACAAAGCAAAGCAAATAAGTAACTTAGACGTAAATACTCCTCCCTACGTGCAGTAAGTAGAAGTTACAACTAAACCGATAGATGCAGGATACTCACACCCAACAGCAGACACGGCAACACCAACAACAGACGCTCAAAGTCCTTGGAGAGTTAAAAATCAAAGCTAAGCAACAAAGAAACAAAAAGAACATAAACAAATCAATGTCGTCCAGTAAAAGCAAAAAGCTAAACCAAAAAGAAAAATATACGCCGCTAAATGCAGTTCTATGGAGTTTATATAAGTAAACCAAACAAAAAGTCAAAAAAAAATATTTAAACATAAATTCAAATTGCAAAATAGTTTTGCAGAGAATGAAAAGAAAAATGTGCTTCATGCGTAGATTTTTACCAGAACAAAAGCTGAAACTTTGTGCGGCAGATCAGAATTTATATATATATACATATATATATATAAATATTACCGACATGATATATAGTTATTACATATAGGCATTGTATTTGTATATCAAAGCAAACCAGGAAAAAGAGCAATGTTTTTAGGTACTTTTCATGCTGAAACATCATCAAAAGAATATATAAACCCTCGGTTGTTGATTTTCATAGCTTCGTTGAACTAAGTTAGTCTTTATGCTTTACAAATTATTCTAAAACATTAGCATTGTAGGATGTAGTAAGGAAAAGTAACAATGCAGCCACCTTAACAAATCAAATTGTATATTATTTGCAAACTGCTGAAGCACAAACAAAAATATATATTTATTCGTATATACTTTAGATCGATATCTCTAATTTTGATTACCCAAAGAATACTCATTTCTGTATTGTACTGTATTGTCAACGAATTTAATTTTAATGCATTGCTTGGTTGTTCCTAATTATTTTATATTTTGGCAGCTAAAACAACTGACACTCAACTCACGACTCAATTCGAATTGCTCAAAAAATTGTAGCGCATAGGTAAATGCAAAAGATCAACACGTAGACATATCCTTGGAATATACAATAATATTTACTTTAAATGCCGCCATAGCAGCAAAGCGACAAAAAAAAAGAAGAAAAAATGAGAAAAAAATATTAGTTTTAAAAAGTCAAGCTTCCAGTGACAAAAAGCCATTGATGAATAATGTGGAAATCGAATAATAAGCATTAAAAATTACAATTTTTAGCTCTTACTCCGTAGCACTTTCCTTGTGTGTTGTGTAAAGAAACAAAAGAAAAAAAAACAAAAAATTGAAAAAAGAAACGTCGTTTCGGTGTTGTTCATTTTCGGTATAGACCGAAGCGAAACTTCCCCAAGCAAACTAAGAATTTATTTTATACACACTCGAATCTAATGCACACACAAAACAAAAATGAAACCAAGAAACTTTTAACGTTGTGTATTTTTCAAATGTTAACGATTAAATGCTCAATGGAAAACAACCAAACAAAAGGACGTCGTTCTCTATTTTGATTCTTAGGCAGCTACTGTCGTCAAATTTATACTAGTTGTTTATCAACCATACTATGCTAAACAAAAACAAGCTACTAATTATTGTGTGTGTGTAATCGTGCAATTCTTTAGGTGTTCTTCGAATTTCCTTAAAAACCTACTACCAATTACTTGAAATGAGGGAATAAGAAAGGAATGAAAAATTCATCAACTCCAAAGAGCTTCAACTTTGACGATTTATTTTTATCTAATCACTTAGCAACTGTCTCAGATTGTACATATTTATGATGACTTATGGTATTTTTCCTTATTCCTCTCAACGCACACACAAACAACACACGCACAGGCTAGGATCCTGGGAAATCGAAGCAATTTATGGCATACTCACATTTGTACCCTCATTATGGTGTACTTTTTGTTTGATTCTCTCTTATGATCATGCATTGATATACTATTTTTACGTTGACATTTTTAAAGCCAAAGTTTATATTTTAAATGATTTTTAGTTAGGTATTAGTTTATATGCTGACGACAGACACAAATGGATAAGTAAATGATTACGAACTAAAGGGAAAACAATAAAGAAAAACAAATCGAACCCAACAATTGCCAAATTAATCGTAGCTTTCAACTGAATTATAAAATAAAGACGTAATTAAATTTAATGAATTTTTCAACTAGCGCAAAAATAGTTTGCCAAAAAGCGTAGCATACTTTTTGGCCCACCCCGATCACACACCGGAAAACAAAACAAACAGAAATTTTTGGGTTTGATGAGCAAAAGCAAGAGGAAAACCATCTAGTTATAAAACAAACTTAAATATAATACGGTACGGTATATACATTTAAATTATGAACTCAACTTCCACCGCAAACTTTTAAAACAAATAAAAAACAAAACTAAGAAAAACACAATTTTTGTCTTAAGCAATGCGTTGAGGAAAGTCAACCTACAATTAAATTATAAATGCAAACGCAACTCAATCAAACACTGCAGCTATATAATAACATACGATATATGATGTATATGATAAAGTCTTCATTTAACCCGATCCATTTTGTGACCCCCAAAAAAAAAACTGTAATCTGTGTAGTCTAACCGTAAGCCAGCGCCAGCTTTTGTTTACTTTCACATAGATCAGATGCCTAGGCGTCATATAAAGTATAAATATAAAGTATATAAATATATATTATATGGAAACTCTAATCTTTAATGATGTGCCAAATTGTAAGTTGTACCATTTGTTTTTATGAGCAAATGCAAAACACAAATTGAAATAAAAATATGAATTAAAACATAAAACATTGAAAATAGCATTCAGTTTTCCTCCTCCCGAAAACCAGAAAAGGAATACGCAAGAAGCCTATTTTGATTTTAAAACATTTAGATGGTAATGGTAAATAATTTTTTAATTCTAGCATTGTGTATAGGAACGGGCAAGGCTGCAAAAACAAATGGCCAAGCCGAGCGTTCTCAGGCGCTACCTTACAAAACAAAATTGATAATAGAACCGCAGAGACGACAAAAAAGTATTATATTAGCAACAATCGCAGAACAAAGCCCAACCAATAGCAAACACAAATAAACTAAATATAAATCCAGCTCAAAATTAAATTTACTTGACATATACATGCCGGAAGGTATTGAATGGAAAATTTCAATAACAAACATACACAAATTCCGTAACGTATTGGTTTATATCAATTTTCAATTTGTAAGGTTGTGACAAATTGTAAACAAACATAGAAAACAAAAATGAAACAAGAAACAAATCCATGGAAAATTGTAATATTGTTTGTGAATGGCAAATAAAATAGCAAGAAAGTGGAAAACATTTGAGATTCATACAAAATACATTTGAAAAGAACGCCAGAGGGAAAGAGCGAGAAATGCAATAAAAATAACTTTAAAAAATGCAAAATAATCCAAACAATTGAGTTTTCATTTAAGGGGACCCAACTCTGTTGACAGACCTCCATAAATTACGGATTCGTGTCTCCTTTTTTGATGCACGAGGTAAGGAGTTTGTAAGGTAGCATTTAGCAGCAAACAATCAATCATAATGGTCGCAAAAAGTTATGACTCCTTATCCACCATCTACCGGAAACCCTTTGACGGCTCACACCTCTATGGAAAACCTCTTTATACATTTTAGCCTGGCCCACACGCACATGTAAAAAATTTCATCAATCATCAATTTACCTTCCGTTAGAGCCCGGCAGTTTTTCTTCATTACTCCAAAACTCTGGCACTCGGGGCGTAATTAAAGTTGATGGCCGATGCATGCAAGTTTATTACAATGCAACCGCAAACATTTAACACCTCTAAGTCCCACACACACACACACATCGTTCTGTATGTACAGAGAATGCCGCGACATGCAAAGGCTATTAACGTGATTAAATCAAATGGCTCCACCACTTGAGTCCGCCAGCCTGTAATTATACAAATTTCGCATTTGATTGAAGAGTCCGACATCCAACATGGCATTTCTGAGGTAGAACACACTAGCATATAGTTACAGCGGTGGATGTTGGACTAGAAACGAAAAATATTTTTGTTTAATAAAAGATGAGGGGTTTTTTAATTTAATGGTATTTAAACTAAAAGACATCTTTTTTTGTCAGTTGTAATTTTTTTTTTATATTATTATTAATTAAAAAAAATTAAAATTAAAAATATTATATTTTTAGCTCTTTAAATTATCCTCCCTTTTAAAAAAATGTTCCCTGTTTAATAAAAAAATATTAAGTTATAATTTGATAAACAGTGGCTCTTGCCTTAAAGTTATTAAATTTGTTTCACAAACTATGGTTTTCTCACTAACATAATTTGTCAAGTAATTTTATTCTTCACAGAATAAATAGAATTAACTGAAGTGTTGTTTCTATTATGTTAACCAGTGGTGTATTATATAGGATCCACATAGACATGGCTCTGTTTTTAAATGTGCCATGTCAAACCGACAACCGCAGGAAGTAAACGCCTCTTCGCCTCTGGTTTGATTTGGTCCTGCTGGCAGTTTTGGGTTTGTGGCCAATGCGGCCGCTGTGTGACATAATAAATTATGCTGCATGCGAATGATTAATTTTAGATGCATGCGACATGACAGTTTCGGGAGTGTGGGACACACGCAGCGCACCCAGTCGAATGCATACAAAATTAACAGCAGTAACAGTTGGAATTAGCCATCTCCAAACTCTCCAAAAGGCAGGCAATCGCAGGACGAAATCTGTGGCAGGCTGCCCATGGGTTATTTGCTTTCTTCTCCCTATCTATCTATCTCCATTTGAACGGCCCGATGGGCCCCATGAATTATTACGTGCAATTATTTTCTAATTAATTATTTGACAGCCCAGCGAATGGCAGACGCTCGAGCGGCGATGGCATGCCATGGCGCGATAATTTTTTGGGCACAATTGGCCATTCGATATGGCGCGTAATGGGCGCCATTAAATTGGCCCGGTCCGCTTTCTGATTCTCGCAATGGAATACGGCCAAAATACACTTTTTGCTGGCAGTTTGATTTAAGAGATACTTAAATATGTAGGCCACAAATGGAGACGGTGCCCAGCTGACTGCCAAAAGTAGGGGAATGAAGCGGAATAATAGAGAAAATCCTGCGATTCAAGGAGAGTTAAGCAAGTCCAGCGGCTGTTGGATTATGACTAATGGCATAATTAAATTGGGATGAAATTAGTTTGGTCTGTTGAGCGGAGGAATATGGTGTACGTCGAGTAGTAAGACTGGTAGGCCCTGTCGGTAAGTAAGTTTAAACTTGTTTAATTTCATTAAAAAATTAAGGGGTTTCTCTCATTAAATTACTTCAGGATTCTGCAATGAGAACAAAATTAGTTTGCTACAGGATTTATAAAGGTTTTATCAAATAACTTAAGTTGAACTAATAAAAAAAAGACGAAATGTTATTCATTAGTAAATAAAGATAAATCGTTTTATTTTAAAGTTCTAGCTCAAAGCAACTTGTCTAAACAATAAAATATAAAAAAGTTACAAATTTACCTTTAGTCCTATCCTAATAAGAATCTTTATTCATAGCATACTTTTTAGCTCCCCATTTAAAAACTTTTAAATAGACCCCGAGCCACTTCAATTATCTAATTGTAAATGGTTGCAACCATTTGAAAAGTGTCAAAATTACTCGGCATCTAATCAAAGCACTTATCATTACCAAATTCCAATCGAAACAAACAGTCCCAAAGCCACCTTTTTGGCAACTCTCTTCCACAAAACAAACTGCTAACGAGGGCCCAAAACATCGGACAGGCAAACTTGTCCGATCGTTGCCACGACCCCAACAAAAACCCCAAGCCACACCACCAATCCCCACTCCACCGAATTGCATCCTGCTCCCGACCGCGGCACAAAAACTAATTACATTATTTCAACTTGATGCAATCAGAGAGTGCGTATGCGTGCCCCCACGAACCCTGCTGCCCCTCGCATCGGTTTACCCCAGTGACCATCCGCGTTTCGGTTCAATTGAATGCCAGACAGGGATGCGAAACTAAAAATATCAGAAAAGAATCCACGAATCATGATCGACGATGCTATACTCAGTAATATCGTAATTTATAAATAAAAGTGTTCAATTATTGTATTAATTGGAGCCACTTAAAAACTACGAAATGAAAAGAAAAAAAATGTTTATATTTGTAAGGTTTTTGATTAAAGCGAGTAAACGGTGAGTATATTTCGAATTAATCTTGTTTTAAAAGTAACTTACCTTTCGAATTAATTTTTAAACAACGTTTTTTTCACATAAAATATAGTTTAACCCATGTAAAAATGGCAAAAATCCTTATAAGGCTTAAGTTTTTTCCTAAGTAAAACCCCTACAAAAAAATTGTGAAAATACATTTTAAGGAATCCGTTTTCTTTGTTGGAAAGATGCTGATACAGTAGATTGCCAATCCTGTTCTATAACAGGATAACTGGAGATACCATTGAACAAACAACGAAGAGACCCCTGAAACTCCACGATATTCGGCGTGTAAAAACGAAACAACGAGAAAAGCCCCGCAGCCAGAAAAGTTGAAATCCCCGCAGGACATGCCGATGCACGCAAATCACTGCAAAAATGCCCATTGGCCAGGGCTGATGTCGATTTCGATGGGATGGTATGTCCGGATGGCGAATCGTTGGGCATTGTGGGGGCTGTGCTTTACGAGGCGCATCGGTTAGATGGGATGCACCATAGTGCACGGGTGTGTCCTGGATGCGAGCGTGTTGGATTAATGCCGGCAGCTGCGGCATGAACAACCGCCAATAATTCAACGAGCAGCGTTGGGCATAAAAATCGCAGCATCTGCAAACCTGGCTGGCAGTTATTTGTTGTTATATTTGTCTGTTAATTGCCGATACAGCGCAATAAAAACCCACACCAGCACCCAACCAGCGAAATTTATAATTAACAGTGTCGTTGGCGCCTTGTACGTGACTCGTAGCGCGTTTCAATTAAATGTTTTTAAAGGCCACCGTACCCAGATCTCATTTTCGATTATGCAAATTGCGCTGGTTAAGGCAGCACTGCACGGCACTGTGTCTTCAATTAAAACTGATTTATTTTTGAAAATTTACAGTACAAATTTTAAAACAGTTTCCTGAAACATTTCAGATATGAAGTATAGTTCTCCGTTATTTTCTTGTTTTATTAAACAGAAGATTATTTTAAAAAATGCTTGCGCTTTTCGATCCAAGAACTACACTGAGTAAATTAAAATATGGTTTTATAACAATTTGTAATTAACAAATTATTTACTCTTATTTTCTTTAAGCACTTTTTCATTGCGTTTAAGAATTTTTCTTCCACCTAAAAAGAGCAACACCACTTAGAGCTGTAAATATTCCATAGACTACAAAGCTAAAGGCAAATGTCTAATTAATCGAACATCCAAAGAACATTTCCAACTCTTTCACCCTTTGACCTCATTTGCGCGTTTAATGAAAAATCCCCTTGGCTTTTGGCTTTTGAATTCCGCCTTTGACTTTGCTTTTGGAGCATTTCGTGCCCCGCCTGAAACCATCAAAACCTCTGGTACCGCAAAATCGGGGCAGCAACCGAAACGTAAACGAAATTCCCATGACTGCAACATTTGCAAACACCGCAAAGGAAGCAATGGGTCCATTCGGATCGATTGGGAAGCAAGCTTCTTAACCACAAAATAAATAGCTTGCCAGCCGCAAATCTTGTTTGATTGTCTAAATATTTGGATGGCCAGTGGGGACACACCAGATTTTCCCATGTCCAAGTTCTTCTCTTAATCCATAAAACAACATTGCGA